AAAAAAAAAAAAAAAAACAACTTGCCTCGCAGTAACATTGTGTCACAGAAGTAAACTGTAAGAATATATTAATGTTATTTAAGAAGTTGCAGCAGTGTTGGACATTCAATGATACATATATTTTGCTCCACCAAGAATCACTTAAATATTCGGCAACATGAGACATATTCCAGCAATGTATTGTATGTATTAGTGCTTAGGTTAAGGAAGCATACTTGTATTGCAATCTAACAACAGCATAGGGCGGTATACTGTCACTCCCTTTTCCAATGGAGAGAAATGTGTGTGAAGCGACTGCTAATTATTACTTGTGACTAAAAGATCACAGGAACATACCTCTAGAACCTCTTTTCTCTCCTGGTTAACAGCAGAACTGCAGGGCTCCACTTTGACAGAAACCAGCTCCTCCCCAACATATGGCAGTATCTGAGGACACAAAATACATACAAATTAGTTTTTTCCCCTCCTGTTTAAAATTGCATTGGATTTTGATACTGCAAGATGATATTGTGTGTAACATAAAGCAAAGCATGCACTGCGAACACATTCAGTCAAGCCCTGATCAGATGACAGAAAAAGCAAAAGTTCTTTTCAGTCTTGTTCCAATGTGTGTCTCACGAGCTGTATTTTATATTCGGAATAATATTTATCCCTGACCTCTGCTGGCCCCTCCTGCAGGTCAGAGGTCATCTCCACACAGCGTTCGTACAGAAGCCGGAGCTTTCTGAACAGCAGGGCGAGCTGTCGCAGGTGTTCCTGGAGCTTCCCAAAGCGGTCCTGGTACATCGCATGGCTCTGGGTCACGCCATTAGGAAGCTACACCAAAGACACACAGCGTCTCTCATCAGTTGAAGTGTTGATATAAGACATAAGAGCCTGTGAATGGTGATGTGTTAAGCCTGCGTAAAATACATGACAACCAAATTTAGGAGTCCGTGGTCCTGATGCTGCTTTTTAGCGCTTAGAGTTGTCAGTACAGGGGGAAAAAAATAACTCACTCAGTTTAATGGACAAGGACAAGCTGGGAAAGGTGAGTTTTACACTGAGAACGTGACAGAGAGAGACAATTAGAGACACAGATCAGGTGGAGATGGGAGAACGAGTGAGACAGATGCCGACAAGCATGCCAAGCAGATGCCCCAGAAAGGCGGATGGGACAAATGCAGACTGACAGACGACAGAACAACCCCGTAAGCAGTAAGTCCAATGCATGAGCAAGGCTAACTACAGCCTAACACACTATCATACCGACACTTCTCTGACAGCCTCGATGAAAACTGAACAGGCATCACAAAGGAAGGATTTGTTGTGGGGCTGCTGCATTGGATTGCTTTAGACTGAAACGGTAACTCTGTGTGCTAAAACAATACAAATGGTGAGATTTCTTTCCCCCTCAAATGTCAATAACTAGAACAGTTGATTCACCAAAACAACCAAAAACTGGAAATATTAAAAATTTGTTTTTTGTTTTTTTTACAGAGTTGGGGGTTATAATCTGAGGGGTGAGTTCAACTTAAAACATCAGCGCGCACGTACAACATTAAAACGTTCTTGTCTTTCACTTTGTGGAGTGAGGTTGTGGAACAGACTGGGTGTGGAGCAACAATCGGGTGTTTTCATAAATGATTTATGTATTTGTTTATTTAATCTATTTATTTTCTAGTTTTTTTTTCTTTTATGTAAATATGTATGTTGGGGAGAAAGATTGTTAATTGAGTAGTGGAGAAGGGGTAAGTTTAAATAAGCATATGCTTCATCCTACTCCTTTTCGGACATGTCATACACAATCAGATGTGTGACCATTA